AAAGATAAATTATAATTTAACGATAATACTAATATAATAAATAATAATAATAAAATATAAGAATAAAATAAATAAATTAAAAATGTTAACTAAGTTAAAAATACTAATGATATTAATAATGTTGATCATTCGTCAATCTTTGTGGCGCAGTAGGATTGACTTCAAATAGTATCAACGTATCCAATATTGACAAGTACCATGTAATCCTTCACTATACTGCAATACTTTGTCTGTTATGTAATTGTCATTTTGCATTAAATTCAAGATTTCGATTACGGTAAGTTATCCTTCCTCTAAATTTTGTTGAATAAATACGCAGTCTTCTGCTTATGCCCTTCATCTCATTAACAAATTTAAGGCAAAATAACGTCACTGTCAATGATAAGCAAATCAGCCATTTTTATAAACTAAAAGATATTTAAAATATTCTGCTAGTTTTACTTCTCTTATCTAGGGTTCATTAAGGTCTGCAATTCCCAAGAATAAAGTGTAGGAAATACTCATGTTATAATATTCAGGTATATTAAACTCATCAACTGGTGAAACTTCATTAGGTAGCCAATCAAGTCTCAGATTATTACAATTTTGTTGCGCTTTATTTAGAATTTCATTAATTGCTCTGTCTTCACTAAGTCTAATAGGTAATAAAGGAATAAATGTTTGTGAATTGAAAGGGTTTTCATGATTTTCATTTTCATCTTCATCATTTAGTCCTTCTTTAGAGCTATGAGTTCTATCCTTCATAAATTATAGAAGTTTCTCCAAAATCAAAACATTTTCTGGTAAAGTTTGTAAGATTTTATCATCAATATTGATGTCATAATAGAGTTTATTATTTTTTTTCAAACAATTAAGTGCTCATATTACTCTTTTCTGATGAACATAAAAATCCCAAAAATTAGATCTGTCTTCAGAATAATATCGAACAATAAGTAAATCTAACAATAATGGATCACGTAAAAGTCATACTACAAACTTTTGCACATCTTATGAAAATTAATAATGTTTTCATAATATGCATGCTATCCTCTAGAAAGGGTATTATTAAAATGACCAGAAATACTTGCGCTATTAACATTTCTTTCATATCAGTCCTTAAATTCTTGCAGAACTTAGCCTAAAAATTAACAGAATTTTAATTACATACTTAAAAATACTTAAAATACATGTTAATCAATACCCACCTGGATCCATATTATTTTCAACTGAAAATCTTTAGGATTGATTTTCTCAGTATTAAATCAATGATACTGCTCTCTAATAAGCATAATGGATGGAAATTATTTATTGCATGTTTTACATAGGTTATTTTTGAGATTGTTAATTGTGTTGTAAAATTGCCATAAAAGCTTCTGATTAGGAGTTGAAATGCTTCCTAAGTCATTTTTTTGATGTATAGTACTTGATTTCCTTTGCGAAAGTCTTGTGGCAGGTTGATTTAGAGTTTCTTTAGCTTTTCTAAGTAAATATTTCTTACGCACATGAGCATGTTGAGCTTTCTCTTCAACTATCAAACGTCTTTCAAGTTCTTCATTAGTTACTTCACTTACTCTATGTCGCTTTCTTTCTCGATCTCATGCCAATTATTCTTTGCATTCTTCATTAGTCTCTTTACTTGCTCTGCGCTCTTTCTTTCTTGATCACGTACCAATCATTCCTCACATTCTTTATTAGTCTCTTCACTTATTCTGCGCCTCTTTCTTTCTCAGTTATATGCCAATCATTCTTCATGTTTCTCATCAGTCTTATTAGTAATTTTCTATCTTCTTCTTTTTTGATCATATGCCAAATAAACTTCTTTTATATCAGCTAGCATATTCTCTTTATTCTCTTTATAATTCTTAAGATAATTTGGAAAAGAAATTATACATAGATATATTTAAACATAATTATATTTTTATTAATCTTACCATTTTGTAATCTGACGTAATTTGAAGTTTTATTAGAAATATAAGATTAGGGGAGTGACACATATTACGTGATTATCGAGGGGGGGGTTCCAAATATCTCACCTTTTCACGTGATTATATGATTA